GAAGAGTGGGTGGGGTGGGGGGGGGGGGAGGGGACACAGACTTGACTGGCATCAAGGAGACATGTATTAAAGAGAAGTGGGCAATGATATATATGGTGGAAGGGGCACAGACTAGACTAGCATCAAGGAGACATCCATCAGAGAGAAGTGGGCAATGATATATATTGAAGGGGGGCACAGACTGGACTAGCATTGAGGAGACCTGTAGCAGAGAGTGTCCTCTGAGTCCCAGCTGAATTATAAAGGGGAAATTTATCAATTAAGGCCTGAAAGTATACTGATTCCCTGCAACCTGGCCACACATTCATAAAGCCTACTGCTTTTCTGTCCAAGACTTCTCTGTAGCAAGCTTCCTATATTGTTGCAAGGTCTCTATGTTGGTTGTTGCAAGGTTTCCATAGTGGGGCAAGGTCTGTATGCTGGTTGTAGCAAGGCTTGTGTGTCATCTGTAGTCCTTCTCTACTAACCAGCGGCTAGCCCCACCCCTCGATTGTGGTTCTGTGTGTGGTTCCGCCCCCGGATTACTATTATGCAGGGCCTGTCAGGAGTCATGTGATTGGGCTGCTCAGTCTAAAATTCCCTGGCCCTGTCCATCCTAAAAGCAGCCACAAGTACATAGTTTGGTTTTAAAAATGTTCAAAGAGTTTTTTGTTTTTTTTTGTAGATCCGTAACATTTCCAGCATGGTGGAACAGTTGGAGATCTATGATAAGAACAATGTACTGGTGATCAGACGGGAGATTGAGGCTCTGAAGGAACGTCTGGAGGAGTGTGAGAAGAACAATACAAAACCAAACCAGCCTTCCCTTCCTCCACCAGATAACGGTAGGTTAGAAGAAAGACTGATTTTCAGTGGGCAAAAGTTATATGTAACAATTTATAACAATATCAACAAGCCATGGGCTACTATTCAGTCTTGATTTCTTCAATGACTGATTTGATTGCATTTTTGGTTAAGTTAAAGAAGACCATGAAAGGAACCTGGAGACTGCCATTGCCGTTCTCTCCATCTAAAAAATAGGTACCTGGCTGTCATTCTGAACCTTTGGCTTCAATATTTTTAATCACTGACCTGCAGCAAGTACAAACCTAATGAATGCTAATTTTTTTAACCTGAATATTTGTACTATGTCAGATACTGCAGTCACTGTTCAACCAACAATATTCGGTCTGGCCTCTTTCAATAACAGTCAAAATGTCAAAAGTTGAAAAATCATATTTTGTTGAACACAGGGGTGCTGGCAGGGCAATACAATGGATCAAATTATGGCCAAGTAAGCAGGACTTGGCTGAAATTCAAGCAGTATATGGCTAGCTTAAGTGACCATGAATTTGATAAAATTAACAGTCTCTATTCCTTTGGTAAATCAGCCCCAGTGTGGTAATAGTAGAACCTAAGTGTATAGTAGTGGTAGAACCTCAGTCTTCCATGAATTCTAAACAACAGCTGGATATGAATCTTCTGCAAGAGGAGTTTGAGATACAGTTATCCTTCTCTATTACTTCATGAAATATCACCAATCAGATATGTGTTTTTTTTCTTCAAATAGCTCCTTTGATATTTGTTCTGTATGGGCTGACCTCCAGATCAAATTGTTCTTTTATTAGCCCTGAGAGCACAAAAATATAAAGTGGTTTTATGCAATTCTTCCTCCAGGAACTGATAAGTAAAACCCCCCATCCAAGTTTCATCATGAGGAAATCCAATATAGGTTGGCCACTTTCAGGTAGAAGTGTTTACAAATGGTTCCAGCTTATCCAGGACATGGCAAAATTAGTAGTTAGTCACATTCAACTGCACTAGCTGTCACATACCTTACAGGACTTGTAGTGACAAAGGCGTCCTCTCTTGCAACTCCTGTCCCAAAACCTTTGGATAGAGGAACAGGCGTATCGGGGGACGGAGGGCCATGAGTACTGGAAGACGTTGCTGCAGGTGATGAGTGTAGAACTCTAAGGCACTCCTCTGGAGGGTAGGAAGCAGAGCAAAAGTCGCGGCCAGGCAGGCCGGGTCAGCAACGTGTGAGCAGCAGGGTACCAAATCAGCAGGCGGATTCATGGTTAAAAGGAGTTAGAGCTGAGGTCAGAGCCATGTGGACAATGCAGTACAGAACAGCAGGCAGAAAGTCCAAAGACAAGCCAGAATCAGGGTCACCAGAGTATCAGGAGAAAAGTCAGGACATGCCGGGTCAGTAACAGGAAATCAGAGTCTGTTATCAGGATTCAGGATCTCGGGTACCCAGGAATCTGAAGATCACCAGCACAGAGGGCTTGGAGGACACAGGTTTTATAGCCCGTTTGGCACCACGATACATTGCACATGTACATGCCTGAATGACTAAGATGTTACATTTTGCCATATTCACATTTATATCAAACTATTTCTTTTGTGCAGGTACTGGTGGGCATGGTGGAATCATCAGCAACATCAGCAAACCATTTGTGGTCCAATTAAACTGGGCAGGATCCAGCTTTGTGTATGGAGGATGGGGGAGAGATTCATTAGCTGGAGCTGATCAGAGTATCCAGTGGGTGGCTCCTCTAAAAGATGAAAGGATGATGGAAACTCTGCGCTTCTACCCTTCATATAATGATCTCACAACCTATAGACGTCCCGCACAGAGAAACCTTACAAGGAAGGTTTCCAGTAACAGGTATGATCATTCTAATTGTGGTCAAGGTGGTGGAATGATTATGTACAACAACATTATCTACTATAACTGCTACAACACCTTGAAGATCTGCAAATATGACTGGAGAAACCATGTGATTACTGGGTTGGCTCTACCTGGTGCCGCATACGCATACGCAAACCGTTTTACCTACTTGCACGTTGCTTTTCAGGACATTGACTTAGCAGGTGATGAAGAGGGTCTTTGGGTTATTTATTCAACTGAGCAGAATGCTGGAAATATGGTTATCAGCAAACTCAATGATACAACTCTTGAAGTATTACAGACCTGGCACACCTCCCAGTACAAACCTGCAGTCACCAATGCTTTCATGGTGTGTGGAGTCTTATATGCCACTCGAGCCATCAGTGCAAAGCAAGAGGAGATCTTCTACATGTATGATACGAAAACTAATGAAGAAGGGAAGTTGAATGTCATTTTTGATAAGCTGAAGGAGAGAGTGCAAAGTCTGTCCTACAATCCTAATGATCACAGGCTCTACATGTACAATGATGCCTACCTGGTTCATTATGACCTTTCTTTCACATCCTCATCCAAACCCAAATCCAATATTATACATTCCAGAATTAACCCCATAAAAATGAAGTAGATTAACCAACATAAACCCAAGCTTTTTCATATTGTATATGTTAGATGTAGGAAGAAGTTTGCTTTAATCAGCTGTGATCACCCCATACCAACCATGAAACAAAGTACTAATGTGTGTGAAGATTTCCAGCATCTGACAGGTCTGAGAAAACCAAGATCCATGGGAATGCTTGTTGCATAACACTAATAATGAAGCACTTTTCTAAACTCTAAACCTAATTTTCGAATCTATTGTTACTGTCCTGTGTTAGATTACAATGTACAGAGGAATGATTAATCGTCATCTATTGACATAAGCTCTGGATCAAAGGCTAATCCTAACTAGATTCTATGTGATTTCTATGTGATAAAATAAATGCAGTTAAATAAACCTTTAAGCATGGCATAAATTATGAGTGAATTTTTACTATGTTTTGGTAAAATTTGCTTCCTGTGTATCATAGATAAGCATGCACTTCAGTGCCATCTACAGCTCAAAAGACAAATTACATCAGTATATGCTGTTGTATTTCCAACAAAAGCAATGTGGCTGCAACTGATGTTTATTCTTCTACAAGATGATATAAACCAATAAACGCTCCGCTTTAAAGTGTATGTATAGCCAAACATCTTTGGATAGTGTCAAGAAGGGTTACATTTCCTGTTAGTTTATATTTAGCTTTTAACATGCCATTGTGGAAATTTCCCTTTACTTCCTGTCCCATAGGTGCAACAGGAACTTCAAGGAAATCTCCCAAAATAAGGGGAATTCATCACTTAGACAGTTGTTCCCAAAACAGTGGTCCTCATTGGAAGAGTCCCCCCTACTTTTTAGAATTAGGACAACTTTGACTTTTCCCTTACTTTTGGTTTCAATGACAAGGGTCATTAGAACAAACACAGGGGTAAATCTCCCCCAATGGGAGCACAGACAGCAATACAAACTTGACAGAGGGTCTAACCCTTGGCCATGCTATTGAATACTAAAGAACAAAAGTTTTGTCTAGAGATACAGTTTTAACTAGTTTTGACTTTATAATATACAGCAAATAGATGGCACTGCACATTATATGACTTCATCCTCTATTTAACTTTGCTGTATGCCCATGTAACACAATTAAATGGTGCTGTTTACTGCATGACTGAGTATAGCAAGCTAAAAGATAACATCAAACCAATACATCTGCAGATCCAGCACATGTCCTGCAATAGAAATGAATAGCAGTTGGCTTAGCAGCTGCCCATTTCCCAGAAATCTCAACTCTCCCGGACATTCCAGGAGTCTCCCGCTTAACAGAGTATGTAGCTTCATATTATTCTGCATTGCGCTGTGTGATGTATTGCTGGGATTTGTAGTTCTCTATAGCTGTTGGTAGTCATTATTGCTGGGATTTATAGTCCGCTATAGCTGATGGTATTCTGCATTGTTGTGTAATGGCTTGGAATTGTAGTTCTCTATAGCCAATGCCATTCTGCAATGCTGTACAATGTATTTCTGAGTTAGTGGCAGAACTACCAGGATCACAGCAGTCATGCACGCGCACAGCCCTTATGTGGCATCCCTCCACTACCAGTGAGCTTTACATTTCCTAAACTGATAAATACATTCACACTACTGTTACATGGATGGCAAAAGTGGCAGAAAGGGGCGGGGAGAAGGCAGGGAAGAGGCAGAGCGGGAGGGGGGCCAAGTTGGCGCACCATGTGCCTCTGGATTGTACTTGCCCCCTCGGCTAAAAGTTGCCAGTCAGCCCCTGCCGGCAAGGTTTACTCTGCTCTATATACTGTAAGTCTAGCAAAGTAAACCTTATTGGTAGGGATGTCTCAACACCAATACTAGTATGGGTATCGCGGCTGATACAAGCATTTTTACGAGTACTTGTACTTGTAAAAATGGGCTGATACTGGGCCTTTAAATTTTTAAAAGAAGTTCAGCTGCCTGAGTTCCTGCACTTGTTGGGGACCTCAGGGAGCCTGCTGGGGACCTCAGGCAGCTGTCTTTGACAGTGCCTGTCCAGCCCTACATCTCCTCCTCCTTTCCGGCAGACGCAGAGACAGGCACAGGAAAGGATAGCCCCAGACCACTCATACAGCTCAAGGAATGTAGACCACTCAAGGAATTTGGGCAGAGTCATCGTGACTTTGCCCAATCATGGCTCTATATTTGTACTGAGCCCTGATTGGCACAGTCTTGCACCTGACCTGACATCGCGTAATGTTTGAACAGACCGCGGACATCCTGTAATGTTCGGCGTTCGGCGAACGCTTGAACAGGCTATGTTCGAGTCGAACCTATGTGCGACTCGAACATGCAGCCCATCCCTACTCATGAGATTACAAATTAGATTTCCCAGAAATGCTATGTTGATGTAACCTTCCCAAGATGCAATACTTGGGCACATTACATCATTTGTGTCAGATGGGGACCAATAAGTGGATGAACTCTATTTGTAAGTAGATGAAAAACATGCTTGTTTAACTACTGAATGCAAGATGATTTCATATCAGCGTGCAGAGTTGCATGCTGATGTGATTTTTATTGAAAGGGTGTAATGGTCCACTTTGAGTTGCAAACATCAGATTTCTTTACACCACGACCCAAGGGCAATATTAATCTCCTTCCAAGGTTGACAGATAAGCCGAGAAGAGAACTATGGGGAACACTTTTTTTGCAACTTTAGTTTCCTTATGATACGAGAGTACATTTTGCAAGGTACTCCTGTAATCAAAATGCGCCATAAGCTTAAAATTCAGTGCAATATACTGTGGGCGGGCTATGCTCTGTGCAGAGAAGTGATCCCGACAATATCGTCAGGATCCTCCACTCCTATGGAGTAACAGCAGCTTGTAGGAGTGGCTGCGCGGGAGCTCCTCACTCCGTGTCCGCTACATCAGGCGCCGGAACCAGAAGTCTCCTTTAAGCGGTTTTAAGTATCAGGTCATAATAAAAATCACCTGGTCCTTAGCAGGTCTTAAAATTAGGTAAATGCAACCTCAGATAAACAACAAACACATGACATCTTACACAATGGCATTATTTATTTTACAAACATAAAGCCATGTGTGAAAAACGAGGTACATCTTCTGATTTTATAGCCTGTAGAACCTCCTTCAGCATTTATAACTTATAAGCGGAGGGGGAGAGAGGCTGCAGGGACTGATCTAGGGGGATCGAGGTTTGCATGAGTGTATCTTTTTTATATATATATAGTGAGGATTTGCTCCAAACGGTAGCACATTAAGGACACCGCCACTCGCGTTCCACTGTTTTAGGGCTTCTTTGGCCACTTTTATCTCACAACTGAAGAGAAAAGTCCATACAGGTGTTTCCTTGCAGGGGTTTTCAAACATAAAGTACTGTTTCTGTCACAGCAACAAACATTTTCCAGTCTCACCGACTTCAGATAGGTCCTTTAACAAAAACATCCACTGGCCACACAGGCTTGTCTTCAAAATGCTTGCCACACAGGATTGTCCTTTTGCCACACAGGCGGATTGCCACACAGGCTGCTCGTTTGCAACACAGGCGGATTGCCACACAGGCTGCTTTTCTTTTGCCACACAGGTGGTCTGCTCCCCAGTCCACCAGCCACACAGGCTGGTTCTAGGGTGAGGCTCTAGGGTGAGCTCCTCACTTAGGAGGCTGGGACTTCTTGTATAGGCCCTAACATTAAAGAGATCAGCTAAATATAAATAATCATATCATGAGTAATTATGTACCTAAGCCTTTCTGATCCTCCCATCTCACCGCTGCTTGAGAGCAATACACTCTCTGCAGTGATGATTGGTAGCCAGAAAACATGTGACCTAGGTTTCCTAGGAAAGTAATTTTCATGCATGGCAAGAAACAGGCAAGCAAGAGGTAGATTTTACGTAAAACAATAATGTGATTTGTTTAATCCTGACATTGCTGTACTGATTCATGTGATCTGTTAATATTAATGATAAGTCCACTTTAATATAAAGTTGATTAATTTACTGTAGCGGACACCATGCTCTGATAAGAATACAGAGACCTTCAACAAGTTAGGATTTAGCAGTCATTTTTGCAAGCACGTTAACTAGCTGGCTCTCAGAATTTGCCCAATTTGCCCAACTGATTCATGTGATCTGTTAATATTAATGATAAGTCCACTTTAATATAAAGTTGATTAATTTACTGTAGCGGACACCATGCTCTGATAAGAATACAGAGACCTTCAACAAGTTAGGATTTAGCAGTCATTTTTGCAAGCACGTTAACTAGCTGGCTCTCAGAATTTGCCCAACCATGAATACATAAATCTAGGACAATGCAGGACAATCACCTGAGATGACCATCAGTCCTGGCTGGAGTTATATACAAGTCATTGTCTCACTTTCTGGGATGCAATAGTACAGATTGTGCTTATTGAGGGTGTCATGTTCTCCAATTCTTACTGATTCACTGAGAGAAGAACAGACAGACGTTTCCTGCTTAGAGTCCTAATCCTAATCATCTAATCCCAGTTATATAACCAGAACACAATTGGATGTTTAGTGTTTGGCTGTGGAATTGTGTTACAGGACAAACCCAGCTACTTTATCTGCTACTTCCAGGATAGATAATGGGAAAGGGTGCTGCCTATGTCTATGATAAAAGAGTGGAAAATGTAAGCGGATTCTAGATTAACGCTCTATCATATTACATTTAAAGTGACCCTGTCACGTCACTATACCATAATGATTAAACTGGAAGCTGCCTGTAAAAGAAGATGAACAATACCTATCAGGCAGGTGATGACTCCATTCTGTGGTCTGATGGTAGCTGACACTTCTAGGTCTGTTGAATGCTGTATTCCCCACTGCGTGCTGTGGATCCACTGACCAAAGCTATGTCATTGTGCTCAATAGTGATAAGTTTACACTAGGTTATAGGAGTTATAGCCTTCATTTGAGAAATCACATTTTTAAAGCCCAACTCCAGCCGACTTTCTTTTTTTGGAGAATATTGGGTGGGGTTTGAAACTTTCTTTCACAACTTCATTGCTGTCTGAGACCCTACTAAGACCCTACTAAGAGGTGACTTCTCTTTATTCTGACACCTGTCACCTAGGCAAAAAGAAAGGGGAAACCACCATTGGGTGTTAACCACATATAGTGTTAAAAGCTTATAAGAGATGTTAGGCCTTCCTCAATCTAATTATTAAAATAGTTTGTGTTCCTTTATCCACAAGGCGGCTACATAAATCTTAGCTGGAGTACGGTGTTCTAAGCAACCAACTATAACAGGTCAATAATAAGATGGCCTAGCACCTAATAAACAAGAAGATCAATGCTATATTAGGAGATTCCAAAACATGTCTGTCTGTATTATTTATTACAGGTATTTATATAACTTCAATAACTTACACTCAAAGGGCTTACAATCTGAGTTCCCTATCTCACATATATGATAGTGCCAGTTTAGACAGGAACCAATTAACCTTCCAGCATCCAGTATATCTTTGGAGTGTGGCAGGAAACTCACACAAGCAGAGGGAAAATGCACAAACTCCAAACAGGTAGCGTCCTGATTTGGGTTCAACTCAAACAGCAACTAGTGCTGCAAGGCAAGTAGGGACGGCCCTGATTACAGGGCTGACAGGCCCCCAAGATCTGTTCTCATGGTAAAGAGAATAAAACTAAGAATTATTTTTTCCACAATGCTCATTGAAGCAAAGACGACTTGCTATAAAGTGCTTTTACTGCTTGTTCAGAATATGTAACTATTTTAGTGTGCATGATTTTGGCACATGTTCACTTTAAGGTGTATATAAATGCAAATACTAAAGTTATGTAAATAGCTCCTTTTTTGCCTTGTAGTTGTGCAAAGTTTTTTAAATTGGTATGAGTAAATGTTTATTACCTATTGATCCTGCCGGCTTCTACTCTTTTATATTTAATGACCACCAGTACCCAATGCTGAAGGATGGTCATCCCATGCTTTATTCTGCTGTCAGCACCTCTTGCTGATTGTTTAAGGCCCCATTTGAGCGATTTTATGCACTTTACTAGAAACACACTAACACTCGACAATCACGTTTCCATGTTTTTCTATTGTGCCCATGTCATATTGAGTCATGTGCTGTTGCTCAATGCTCAGAAAAAGATCAGGAGCTTCTGTGGGGCATGATCGCCGTTTTTTGGTCCCAATAGACTGCATTGGGAGCACATGAGAAATGGCTGAATAACGTGGTAAACACGTTTTCTTTTGCACTTTTGCACATGTCTCCTCTCCTCCTAGTAACTAACTTTATTTTGGCTAAAACAAAAAAGCTCAAGGCCTAAATACATGCAAAAAGGCGTGTTCAAATGCACCCAAAAACCGCAAAAAAGTCCAAAAATTCCGGCACTCAATTGTAAATTTAGACTAACAGCTGCTGAGACTGGGACTTCCTGTAACGCTAACAGGGCTTTTTACTACAGAGAGAAGAGTTTGCAGAAGGCAGGAGAACTGAACAATCTAGGACAACATAGCTGAACTGGAAAGTGAGCTGAATTGGAGAATTTTTGCAAATCAGCTATTTTCGCCTAAATTGTTCACTTCTTCTGCCTTCTCCAAACCCTTCACCCTTTTGTGGATAGCCCTGTGAGTGGGCCACTTATGAAGAACTAAGTATAAAGTAAAGAATGTTTGTTTTGGCATACATCCGCACGGAGCGAACATTTGCCCTGCCATGTGTTTAGAAATAGACACCTTTGTGGCACTTTTACTGCACATTTTGGCCTGTTACAATAAGGGGAAAAATAATGGATCTACTGGAAGGATCAACAGGCATTAATCTGATGCGGGGAACACAAAAACCACTGTGCTGATGCTAATGACAGACTGCATCGTATTTGTCATTTTTTCTATTTTGCCCAGAGTTCCACATAAACATGTTTGAAAAAATGAATGACATTATGGTCAAGAAGAAATATCACAATAGATGTGCAATTTCTGTGAATGCAACCAGATCTGCTACTAGCCACTGTGAGAGATCCAACTGTCTATGGACTGTCTTACTGCACTGGACTATTACTACCCTACGCTCAAAATAGCAATTGCAAGTATGTGTTCTTTTCCATTCCTTCTTAATGAAAATCTTCCAGCTGCTGTGATGTGGAAGTTGGTAGTGGATTGCAGCAATCAGACTTGACCTTTAGAACGTGGCTGTGGCATTCTGTGAAACGTACCTAAAATGTTCTCTGGCTTCAGGTACGTCTAGCCATCATGTGAATGCTTTAATTCCAGAGTTTACTTAAACACTGACAGATGAGAATAAAAATGTTGACAAATAAAGTTTCTCATTACTCTTTCAGAAATAGTCCACCAAGTACAACACAGCAGGGCAGGACAATAGATGCGATTAGTCACAAGGGTTTTAGTGCAGTTCTTGGAACACCGTGCCATAATGTGCCATAATCCCAGACACCCGTCATCATACACCATTAATCCCACATGCCTCAAACTGATAGATATATCAGATATCAGTTTTCCCTGAATCATGTAATCATGACAAACAAAATTTATGGATCAAGATAACAAACCCTAATAGGATGGAGGGAGGGGGGGATAGAGTGCGATAGCGTCTTGGTCTCCCTCTATATAAACCTGTACCTGTTACCGTCAAGCACTGCTGGTTTATTTCCAATGAAGATGTATATCTGTCTCCTGACACTGGTCCTGATCCATGCTGCTGCTGCATTTGTAAGTATATCTGCTTGTATAGGACATTAATGATACTCTATATCTATAGCAAGACAATGGCTGTCTGCCTAACATAGTAATACTTTGATAAATAATGCATTGCTCCTCAATCTGAGAACTAATGATTCTTAAACAGGTTAGAAAGGTTTCTTTACTATAAGGGTCAAAAATATGGGTTCTTTACTATAAGGGTAAGGGTAAGGGTAACTGTAAATTCTCTTATCTGGATGGTTTGGTTCTTTTTGCTTTACTCTAAAGGTAGTTGGGTTGAGTTTACAACATTTTAAAATTTCCAGGGACATTGCGCATATACAATTATGTATTTAAAGCCATCATGTCTTAAAAAGGACAGGGAACACTAAGGGTTCTATCTGTAAACAATTTGCAGAGCCATTCGCCCTGCAAATCTCTTTGAATGTTAATTCTGTGCAAATGGAGGTAAAAAAATTAAAATTCTTAGCATATTTTCTTTTCCGGCTGAATGTAACATTCAGAAAACACCGTATTATGGCCACTTTCCTATGCTCTTCAGCTCCATTTGGTACCATAATGTTGTATTTTTCCAAATGTTACAGTCGACCCGAAAAGAAAATATATAAGAATCTTCACATTTTGCCTCTGTTCGCACAGAATGAGCATTCACAGAGATTCACAGGGTCAATGGTTCTGCAAATTATTTATAAATAGGCCCTGAAAATTAAGAATCCCAGAAAAAAAAAAATAATTACACTTAAAATAATTGTATCATTTGCACACATAGATGCACGTGAGCATAAACATTTTATGGATACAGCCTAAAATATGGAGTCATTTGTCCACATGTTTACAGTTTTTGCTGTGTCTAACTTGCAGATGTTTCATACTTGCTATCTCTCCATAGTGCAAGATATATATCCATGCAGGGCTGGATAACCGTAAACAAATGCTTATGGCACCAAGGGAATGGGGCACCACAGAGTTTTTCCCCTAGCTATCATGCCCTCAAAGGATAAATATGCTTTAATACAAAGTACACTTATCCTTTTTGCCCCTTTGCCTTGAACTAACGATCCCTCCTTCCTCCTCTACAGATGTATAATTACCCGACTGCCACGGCCTTCAATATTTATTACATCCTGTGCCACAGGTCCTCTCTCTCTTGGCCACGCAGGCACATTACAGCTCCTCAGACATCTGTAGGACTTGTCTACCTTCATCTCAAAGCCAAGAAAGTAGCCCCATAAACGTCTTAATTCTTAACTAATAACTTCCCTCATCGGTTCATAATAAAAGGTCTTTAGTAAGTTGCTGTTTTTTTTAATCTATGCCCAATCTGTTAAATACATTAAATGAAAATGTTTTTGTTTAATATAGTTGTGGGGTCTGGCCTGGGGCTGACCTGGAAGAAAATTCAAGCAGGTTAATAAATATTCTTAATAAACTTTTATGTTACATTTCATCACTTATTGAGTTTTAGGGTTGATTTACTAAAGGCATAATTGCTGTTCACTTTGCAAGGGAATTTACATTATGTAGGGGATGTTTCCCCTTAGCTTAGTGAATGTGGTGAAATTTCACTTCGCAAGGAATACCCAATGAGGTACAAGGAAACAAAAAAAACAGTATTTTTGCTTGCACGTGATTGGATGATGGATGTCAGCAGAGCTTCAACTCATTCACTAAACTAAGGGAAAACTTCCCCTGCAAAGTGGTAATCCCCTTGCAAAGTGAACAGCCTATTTGTCTTTAGTAAGTCAGTTGTCCTTAATCCAGCCCTGGATCCGTGGCTTCATTCAAGTAAGCATAGTCCCTATTTATTTCCTACATTGTTGGTCAAACTGTGGATTCTGCACTGTAAAGTCTACTGTAAGCGTCATCAAACTGTGAGCTATTTATTGTAAAGTTAGGCTATGACATTTTTAGAGTAAGATAAGCCATAGATTTCTTACTGGGTAGTCAGACCGTAAATTCTTTATTGTATGGGTGTTTGATTTCTTTACTCTAATGTTCATCATATTAAACATTTGTAGTGTTAGAGTAGTCAAACTAAGTGCGGGGATTTGTAATATAAATTTAGGACTTTAGTTTTTTTTACTGTGAAGCAGGCAGTTGTTGTTTTTTTTTTTTTTTTAATTTGACAGTCAAATAACCTAAATAACATAGTCACCGAAAATATATTTTTGACTGTAATTATCTGAACTCATAAAAATTAAACTGGAATTTGGATGACATTTTCCACCAAATCAAATATGCACTGCTCTGCCTGCAGTCAAACCTAAAGCAAATTTATAAAAATTAGTTGAATATAATGGATCAAGGTTTAAAAAAAAAATCTTGATGACCATGATGTATTTGTGGAGGCCGGTGTGTCAATCTGCCATTCTTTGGGCCATTCAAATCTTCATGACTTTGCAACCCTTCAGGCGCCCCTGCCACAAAACATTTAGGGCTTGGGACCAAAGGCAAAAACAGAATGGTAAAAGCCTAAATGTGATGTTTAAAGATAAAAGATGTTTCACTGCTGTCATATTACCCACTAACATTCCAGGTCCTTGTCAATAAACAATGACAAAAACTGATGTGCCTGTTGGGGTTTAGCTGGCTCTTGGGTATATTACAGCAATTTAAGTAACATATTTGATTTTTTGAGAACCCAAGATTTTAAATGCAAGGTTCCAACTTGGCTCTCACTTGTATATTACACGTACATAATTATACAATGCTAATAATCATGTTGATGCTGAATACCATACACTGTATACTATAAGATTTTTTCATATACTATTAATATATGAATATACTATTAATGTTCAGGGTGATCTATAATATCATAATAGCAAAAATAATATTATCAATGCATGCATGATCATCATTGTATGGAATTTGAAGATTAGATAGCAGCGGAGATCATAAAATGGGACCATTTTTTGTTAACCCAGTTGAGTTTCTTTACAATGTGGTGATTTTGTATGCCTGGAGTGTGCTGACATACTCAGTATTGCTGTGTATTGCAGCATCTTCATCTAAAATGGGGTGTTAATGAATAATTTTAATGGTTTGCATCATTACATAAGCTGATCCATGCCAACAGCCACATTTGACCAAAAACACATATTGTTCAGTTGGCCTATTAGCCCTTCTATGACTTCAATTTCTGCAATTTGATTTCCAAGTTAAAATGACCTTGAAAGTCAGGTGCATCCGACACAAAGGCCAATTATATAAAGACAAGATCTAAAAAAAAACTTGAACAATAATCAGCAGAAGTAAGACACTTTCACCTTCCTCTGTAACTGTTATAGACTTCCCTCTTTTTTAAGGTCAAACATTTTGTACACCAAGAACAGTTTCACTGAGTACTGTTCCAGTCTGAGATGGTGTCAAATAATTTTTAGGAGAGATAAACTACAAATATA